ACACATTAGTGTTTATAGCCACTAGTTAGAAACTAAAAGATGCTCTGTATCATGTTACATGCAGTTATATTTTAAAATACACAGTTGAATGTGAATTTGACTAATCTTCAAAATTCTATTAATTATAGTTGAGAATTTGAAAATGATATGTAAACTAACACCAACTTGCTGGATTTTAATTTTACATAAGCTTAAAGTTGCTTATCTTTTATCTAAGTTCCAACTTCTTGTGTGATTTTTTTAGCATATGCCTTATTTTTTTAACGATTTATTTTATTTTATGTGCACTTGTGTTTTGCCTTGTATGTGCATATGTGCTTGTATGTCTGTGTGGTGGCATCAGGTCCCCCAGAACTGGAGTTACAGACAGTTGTGAGCTGTTGTGTGGGTGCTGGGAATTGAACCCAGGTCCTCTGGGAGAGCATCAGCGCTTTAAACTATTGAGCCATCTCACCAACTCTTTGTGTGATTTTAAAAAAAATTTGTATTTAAAACAATATCAGGTGCAACTAAACTAAATTTTTAATGAACATTTAGTCTTGCCAAGTGGTGGGAAAGTCTTTGAGGAAACTGTTCTCAGGCCCAAATTTTTAAAGGGTAAAAAAGATCCTGTTTTTTTAGTCAAATATATTTTGGTCATTCTACTATTCTTCAAAAGCTTCTAAGTGACCTATTGGGTATTTCTTTCCTAGAAATCCCAGAAAATCAACCATACAATGTAATCTGGGCTTCAGTTTGGGTTTCCCCTGACACCGATACTGATGTTTGAGCCTTCTCTTCCTGATAAGGTGCTTACACAGCCAGTTACTTTGAGGTTTTATCTATGGGATCCGTGTCTTTTGGGCTCATTAAGGACATTTCCAGAGATTACAATGTCAATAACACCTAATTACTGGGCTGTGAGAAAGGTCTACTTGAGTACATAAGATCTGGGGCAGCAGGGGGCTCACAATGGGAGGCTCACATCCCACATTTTATCACAGGGAAGTGGCAAACAAATTAATAATCTTACTTTTTCTTTCTTGGGATAATTACTACCATGTAAAACACTGCTTTGAGATCTTGCAGATAGTGCTGTGCCTTGTTTTTTATTCCCTTCTATAGGTCAGATTTTTTAAAAATCTCTTAACACTAGCTATTGCATGAATGAAGTCCTGTGGCTCTCTTTAGAACTCTCAGGGCCTCATAACAAAGGAGTAACATGGTTTTGACTATGTTATAATTTCAATTCCCTTTCTCAGATCATTGCATGCACCAGGCTCAGATATCAGTTTTACCCACATCTGGTGGAAAACTAGTTACTTAAGAAACAAAGATTAAATTATTTTAATTTATGCACTACTGTTTAGAGCCTCATTGCTTTCACCAAGTATATTATAGATCTGCCAGACTTTAGTTTGGGGTTCCATTAGAAACGGCTTGTGAAGAGAAGCAAATGGGAGAGTGAGCTCCATATGTCTTCCACTAGACTATTTTATTTATTCCTCTTAATGAGAGCACAGGGTAGGGTTGCCCCTGCTCTTACACAGCAGAGGAAAGGCAGAGGGAGCTGCCCAGGGATTAAGGAATGAACTGAGATTGGAGACTGAGTCTGCCAGCCTCCCAGCCTTCCTGATACATTGCAAAATGTCTCTTGCATCTTGTTGAAACAAGATGTGCAGCTGGTTCTGTATTCATTTTGGGGGTCAGATAATCCAGTCCAGGGGTGCCTGGCACAGACTTTTGGGTCATTTGATTGATCCCCCAGTCCCGCTGTTGGTATAACCATAACAGTTTGCCAACCCTTGATGTACTCATGTGAGCCGCCTGCTAAGTGAAGGAAATTCATGAGGGAAATCCTACCTCAGGGGCCACTAGTGAGAATTAGTTAAAACTTGAGAAACACTTAGAATATTACCCTCTCCTACTACATGCCAGATGTACATACTCTCAAAGAGTATCCTGTGGTGTGAAAGTGCAGCCTAGGAACTTAAATGTTTGATGTGGCAAGAACACTGTAACAGAGAGGGTTATTGTCAGTTTTAATGTTCAATGGAGCATTCTAAATCTTAATATTCATTTGAGTATTTTGAAAGACAACAAAAATAAACCTGTGATACCAAAGAGTCCAATTTCCAGGGGGCTGTAGACTTGAGTGAGTAGTTAGGAAAACCTGTTCAGCAAGCACAAGGACCTGAGTTCAAATCCCAAGCACCAGGTAGAAAAAACCTAGGCAGGACTGCATGTGCCTGTAACACCAGCTTTAAGGAGAGGTTTACTGACCATCCAGCATAGCTAAAAAGACAAGTTTCCAGTTCTGTGAGAGACCCTGTCTCCATGCAATAAAGGAGAGAGTGACAAAGGAAGACACTCTGGCCTCTGAGTGTGCATACATGGGTGCACTTACCATACACTCATGTGCATGCAACAGAGAGAGAGAGAGAGAGAGAGAGAGAGAGAGAGAGAGAGAGAAGGAGAGATAGAGAGAAGGAGGGAGAGAGAGAAGGAGGGAGAGAGAGAGAGAAGGAAGGGAGGTAAGAAAGTAGGAAGGGAGAGGGAGGGAGGGGAGGGAGACAGAAAGAGAGAGAGAGACAGAGACAGAGACAGAGAGAGACAGAGAGAGAGAGACAGAGAGAGAGAGAGAAATCCATTTATGGTCCATTGCCAGATACATTATTGTGAATACCTCTCTTCATGAGAAGTAGATGAATCTTCTTACTAGAATGCAGTTTTTGGGGCAGAAGCTTGTGGGTGGATAGTATCCATGACACACTGGCAAAGGACAACATTGTCACCACCTAGCAAATTATTCTAAGCTCCCCAGCCTCTTTGTAGAATTAAGAAAATAACCTTTTGTGTGGCTCCTAGAAAATAATTCAATATGTTACTAGTATTTTTTCAAGAACTAATTCACAAATAATAATACGGTGTTAACCACATGGTTAATATGTGTCTAAGTAAATTCATATCACTTCTCAAATTATTAAATTATTTATTTAGCTTTCTTCCTTACATTCATTTGCTTGTCTTCCATCAGTAAAATTGAATTTTGATTTTAACAAATTTTGGCTTATTTGAAGCTAATTAGTCAGATGGGTTGACTAATTGGGCTATTTATCAGCATTATCTTCAGAGAGAAAGAAGATAACCTGTGCAAGTTTTATCAGAGATTTGCTTCTTTTTCTTTTGTACAGAGGCATTATGGTGCAAACATTTTCACAATGTAGATTAATAGTCAAAATCACCAGCTTTATGGTTACCTTAAAACTCATGTTCACATAAAGTATTTATGTTCAATCTGATTTATGTTACAAAAAAGTGAAATAATGACTCTGGAGGACTTTTGGTAGACTAGGTGGAGACAATTCTGCATTTTGCATTTCCAAGGATGAGGAAGGCTTGGTTGTGTTTTTTTCAGCCAGGGCTGCTTTCCATGTACAGTGACTTGTTAACACTTTAAGTATACCTTTGAAAGACAATTTTCTCACTCTTGGAAAGTCAATTAAAAATTACATAGGTGTGTGTGTGTGTGTGTGTGTGTAAGTCAGCACCTTGAGAGAATATGAGGCAAAGGCTTTCTACTGGGATGTATCCAGTCCTGGAAAGTCAACTGTGGATGCAGTGTCCACAACTGGATTGTTTGGGAATTCACTGCTGATGTCATAGTTTCCTAATTCAAATTTCAGGTCAACAACAAACTCTAAATTTACCAATCCAAGTTTTTTTTTGGGGGGGTGATAAGCCACAAGTACATTTAGGTATTTTAGAAGTAACTTATCGTATGAGTTGGGATTTGCAATTTAACAGATCCAGTTCATTATTTAAATACTGACATCTTTAAACATTGCTGTTTCCTAAATTATGGAGTCCAATCTGAGCATGACTGTAATCTGTAGTCAGCTCCGAGGAGGCACTGTCACTGTGATTGCTCAAAGATTCCTTTGTCCCTAGGAAGACAACCACTGACCTTATCTGATATCAGCAGTGCATATAACCGCAGGAAACTTTCCCACTGCACAGATGCCCAGAAAGAGACCCTTCACACTGTCTGCAGATGCCAGGATTTAAACTCTTATCACACACAACCCCCTTGCAGAAAGTTTCATTACCTAGTCTACTTTTAGATGTTTCCAGATATGCCAACTGAATCACTCATTCAGTGATCAGTCATGATCAATGCTCATTATTCAAAATTACAATACTATACTTGGTTAATTCTATTTGCCGACTATGCTCTACAAATTTACAAGCTTTAAGTAATGAATCATCTTTCCCCAATCCTAGATGAACCTGGGTTCTCATATTCTCTAAGGAAGCACTTTAACATTGAGATCCACCCTCAGCCCACAAATATATGTCTCTGAGTGCATGCCTCTGCCCTCACCCTGAGCACTCTTACACAGATTTATTTTGTTTTCCAAGGTCAGAGAAATGTTTTACAGATGTATATAGACAAAATAAATTGGAGTTTAAGAACACATCAAATGTGAAGATCTTTAGGGGTTGATCAAAGAGAAATTTGCAAGAAACAGTCTTATTTTTCTGCTAATTATTAAATTGGATAAATAGACATTTAACTAGAGATTCAGGGTTTGGGGTGTTTTTTTTCCTTTTTTTTGCAGTCTAGTAAAAAGAAGTAACATTTTAACTGAGATAGTTTCTGAGTTTGAAGAAAGACAAAATTCATTTTCAACTAGCAGCAGTCAGAATACATAAATTCATAAAGTTTATAAATTGGCTGAAAAGTCCCAGTTTCACCCATAATACCAAATACCTTAACCAAACAAGAAAAGCAAAATGGAGGGAGGTTCTCTGTGCGGTTTGAGGCCAGCCTGGAGTATAGAAGAGGAGGAGACAAGCAGGCTAACCTGTTTTGCATCCTCCTTCTCTGTGTGAACTCTTTTTCTTAACAATAGGAGTCTTAGCTTGTTTTCCTTTGGTGATATGATGGCTGCCAGGGCCTCAGATATGCTAGGTTGGCATTATGGGAAATACCCCACCCCCACTCTCTAGATTCTTACCTTTCGGCAAATGTGCATAGGTCACCTGGTCACTGGGTATGTCCACAAACTTGTGCTCCACCTGCACATTAGCCAAAAAGTTTCATTACTGTGCTTCAATTGTATTAACCGATTAAATGTTTGGTAGGGAAAGGCAATTGACCTACCACGGCTGGGTGAAAAACATTTGTCGGAGGGGATGACTCATTCATTGTGGAGTTCACATACAAGGGCTTGACTTTCTGAAAGACACAAGCAGCAGGTACCGTGGGTCAAGAGGAAATCATAATTAAAGCAGAGGGATGTGGACACCCTTTGTATTAGTCAGGCATCTCTAGAGTAGCAAAGCAGATATAGTGAACCTAACTATACAAGGCTTAGTTAGATTTATTAGAGTGGTTTATTTCAACAATGACTTTTTCCTTATGGAAAGGTCAAGAAAATCTAGTAGTTGTTCAGTCTAAGAAAATGAATGTCTCAGTTGGTTTTTGGTATATGCCAGAATCCCAAAGAAGTAGGCTGTAATGCCAGTGAAGAAATGAACTTGCTAGCAAGTGTGGTGGTCTAGATTTAAGATGGATCTTCCCATCTCAAAAAAAATCCAGATTTAAGGTGGACTTTCCTACTTCAATGATTGAATCAGGAATCTCTCACAGGTTTACCCAGTTCCTTGGCTTTTAGGTAATTCTAGATGTAGTCAAGTTGACAACCAAGAATGCCCATCACACTCTTTTAACTCCTCTACTGTGACATGTAAACTCAGCTTCTAACTTATTTTTTCAAGTACAGAGGGAGAAATCTTTTCCTGTAAATCAATGATGGTGGACACCTAGAGTCCCAGATACTCAAATGCCCAAAGCAGGAGCATTGTTTAATCCCAGACGTTTGAGACTACCCTGGGTAATGTAATGCAGAGATGCCACAACTGAAATCAACATCAGCACCATCATCAACAACAAGTAGTAGCAAAGGCTTACTGCTTTACTGAGGCTATTTTGAGAGACAATTAAAACAATTTTTCCTCAGTGTCTCTTCTGACTCTACTTTCTTTTGATTATCCCCTTCAACTTGGGATTTTCTACAAGTTGGCCCTACATGGGCACAGTTCTTTGTTTGCAGCTTCAAGCTGCACAGGAGAAAAAAATACACTAAAGAAACCTCCTAAATTATTTCTGCAATGAACATGTATAGACATCTTTTTCCTTGTCATTATTCCCTAAGCGATGCAATGGCAACCATCAACATTATATTAATTATGTAAATTATCCAATGCATAATATATTGCTTTAGGTAGTACAGGTAATCTTGAGAGATTTAAAGTGTATGGAGGCTTGTAAAACATCACACACAAATACTAAGTCTCTCTAAAAACAATAGGTATTGCGCATCCAAGGATCTTGGTATCTCTGTGTGGTCCTAAAACTAATGCCCTTTAGATATGGAAGGGCACCACACAGTGACAGGTCAGGGTCACAAGGTTACTTCCAATACCAAATAGCTGCTGGGATCTCCGGCAGTGTGCCAATATTGCTAAGAATGGGCTGGCAAAAAGGCAAGAGGAAAAACAAATGAGTGAGAGACTTTCTCCTGAAGCAGAAGCACTGCTTAGAATTTATGTTTTCCCCTCTTATCTATTTCCTTCATCTTTCTTGGTGAGTTCATTATCATTATTTATATATTCATGCACATGTACGTGTTTACATGTATTTTTTTCTATCCCCGTAGCATAATCTCACAAAGGGATGTGGGATTAAATGTTTAATGGGGACAAACCAATTGACCTACCATAGATGAGTGAAAGACACTTGTTAGAAGAGGGCTACTCTGCTGAGTTTACTGTGGCGTGCACCACAAGGGGGGGTGTGTGAGATTAGGCTAGGTGGATAGAAAATGCGTGTAAAAAATATGTGGCCTCAGGAAAGGCAGAAGACACTGGAAATGAAAAGATCCAAGAGAGTCGTGGATATGATGCGGGACAATTACAGCTAGTAAAACATGAGAGGAAAATGTAAACTCGAATAACGCCTCCACCTCTTGTATCCCTCAAAGTTGTCATACCAGTGGGAAGTATAATGAAGGAGCTGGTAGGATGGCTCAATGGATAAGAACACTAGCTGCACCCATGTGGCAGCTTACAGCCACTTGTAACTCCAGTTCCAGGGGACTTGACAGCCTTCTTGGGCACTTGCACACATATGGTACACAGACACACACACATAGACAAAGCAGTCACACACATAAAATTTAAAAAATAAAAATAAAAAGTATAGTCAAGAACACTGTTACATGCAAGACTGAGTAAAGATGGATACTACATCTCCTATTCTTTAGCTCCCTTTGGCTTTGAGGACATTTGCCAAACTTAACGAATACATATAAGAGTGGCCAAAGACTCCTTTAACCCAGAGGTAGAGGACACAACTCAGAATCTACTTAAAATGTGTGACGTAACAAGACCCCCTTGCTTCCTGATGACTCTGGAGTCTTAATAAGTCAAAGTGCATGTATGTATAGGGTTGAGGAGAGAAGACAGTGCCATATGTACAATGCATATATAGTAAACATGTAACAGGACTGAAGTTTTTCAGACAGCAATATCTGCTATCTTGTCACAGGATATAACATTGAAAGTTAAAGGGGATCCTTATTATTGATTTATTTGCAGCAGATATGATAAAGCACTGGTTAAGGAGACTTAAGAAATGCAATTCAACAAACAAAAGGAATAGATACATTGATTATACCCCCCCCAAAAACACTAAAAATATCTGATTGAGTGACATAGCCTTCTTGTGGAACTTTCTGTTTTGTTTGTCGGGCTGGTTAAACATCTAAGATTAGGATAATGCCATGTTAATTTTCAAACTTCAGTGAGAAGGAGAAAAGGCAGGGAGAAAGTACTACACATGTTTTTCTCTATGCAAACCAGTTTTGGAATATTTCAAGAGACAATTGTTTGCTTGTTTTTAAGACAGGGTTTCTCTGTGTAGTACTGACTTTCTGAAACTTGCTTTGTAGACCAGGCTGGCCTTGAATTCATAGAGATCCACCTGCATCTGCCTCCTGAGTGCTGGGATTAAAGGCATGTGCCACCACCACCCTGCTTAGAAGACAATTCTTAAAACTCTCAGGTTTCTAAATAGATTTAGGTAAAAATACTGTCCTGACAGGATACTTCAGAACACTTTGTAGTAGCTTATACCTAGAAAAGGAGCTCAGCTAGTGTGAAATTCAGATATGTAAATAAGGCTGTTGAAGTGAAAAATGTTGAAAAGAATTAGAAAAAAATTATTTTAGACTATAAGCCTCTTACAGCAACACCCTACAGCCTGTTTCTCATGCTGTGTTCTACAAACAAAACAAAAATAGCCGGGTGTTGGTGGTGCATACCTTTAATCCCAGCACTTGGGAGGCAGAGGCAGGCGGATCTCTGTGAGTTCAAGGCCAGCCTGGTCTACAGAGCGAGTTCCAGGACAGCCTCCAAACAATACAGAGAAACCTTGTCTCAAAAAACCAAAAAAAAAAAAAAGAACAAAACAAAATAGCCTAACTGATCTAAAGAAAACCCCATGGCAGCAGAGGCTGAAAGGAGTTACCACTAATGCTGACAGACTTGTCAGTTGAAATTTACCAGATCTGTTTCTACACTGGCCACCATTCCCTTTCATAAGCAGTATTCTCTCATTGAAACAGGGTAAGTGATAGTCCATACCAGAGCTAGACTTGATCCACAGGTCTGCTATGCTACGGTCTAAATATGGTGGTGATCCCCAACATGGCACTAATAAGTGAGGGAGCCTTCAAGAGGCGCTGCCACAGGGGAGGTCCTTTTGTCACTTTGGGGTGTGCTCTCAGAAGGGTGTTCTTGTGCAGTCTTGAGTTTCAACTAGATGGTGGTTGCATGGAGCAAACCTGGGTTCATTTTTTTTAATAATGCTCTTTTTTATTTTACTTTTAAATTTAAATTAGAAACAAGGTTACTTCACATGTCAATCCCAGCTCCCTCTCCCTCTCCCTCCCCTCTTTCCACACCTTCCCACCAACCTCCCCAACCCTCCCTCCCCTAATCCTCACTCCTTTCTCCAGGGAGGGTGAGACCCCCTATGGGGGGTGTCCATAGTCTGTCATTTCATCCAGGACAGGGCCTAGGCCCTACCCCAAGAGTTCAAGCTGAGAGGGCAACTCTCATTATGGGATGGGCACCCAAAGTTCATTTGTATGCCAGGGATAAATCCTGATTTACTACCCAAGGCCCCATAGATTGCCTAGGCCTAGGCCAGACCCACATTCAGGGGGTCTGGAGCAGTCCCATGCTGGATTCCCAGCCATCAGTCTGGGGTTCAAGAGCTCCCTCTTGTTCAGGTCAGCTGTTTCTGTGGGTTAAACAAGTCCAGTCTTGACCCCTATGCTCATCAGACCTTCCTCTCTGTCACTGGGTTCCTTGAGTTCAGCTCAGTGCAAACCTGGGTTCTTCTTTTGCCTCTGCTTCCTGACTTAAGGAGGTGACCACTTGTCCTGACAGACTCTCCTACCTTTGCTGTTTATCGTGAAATGGTGCAGCCCTTGCCACCAGCCTACACTATGTTATTTGGATTTTGAAGCTCCAACTGTAAGCTAAGTAAACTTTTACTTCAAAGGTCTTAGATGTTTTGTCATAGCTATGCAAATCTGGTATGTACAGTTTCTAATCAGAATGAATGACTTGGTGCTTACTTCCCTTTGAAAGTGACTGTAGACTTGAACTTGAGCTCTGACACTTGCCAACAGAATATCTGTGGGCAAAGGTGAACAAATGGGCAGGCACTATTACTACCCAGCACAAGAGTCCCATCCTCTGTATCTGCACTAACTTTTATCTCAGCTCAACCATCATGCTGCATTATAGCATCCTTATTTACACATCTGTATTTCACACTAACTGAGCTCCTTGGGGCCCTGCACTTTATTCTATGCCTTCAGGAGCTTGTAGAGTGACTGTTGTGTGCTATCACTAGAGCTTCTGTGTTCACAGATGCATGTATGCAAAGTACTTACAATGTAATTGAAGGAGGTGTCAGCAATCATTGCAAACTGCCGGAAAAGCGTGTGTCTAGTGAACATCTCATCCTTTAGGACGTGAAAGCTGAAACAAAAGAAGCAATGTAACAACACGTATAGACATCATAGGATAAGACCAACATTTATCTTGTTGGGTAGTGGTGGTAGACACCTTTAATCACAGGACTCAGGAGACAGAGGCAGATGGATCTCTGTGAGTTCTAGGCCACCCAGGGCTACATGAGAGTGAATCAGTCTAAAATAGAAACAGAGCTCAAACCTTTAATCCACCCCAGAGTGGTGTATAAAAGACAGGAGCCCAGTGTTTCATGCTGTATTCTGAGACTGAGTCTCCAGCCACGGTGAGGAGAGGATCTTTGCTTTTCTGATCTTCAGCCTGAACCCCAATATCTGTCTCTGGGTTTTTTTTTTTTTTGGTATTTACGAGACAGGGTTTCTCTGTATTGTTTTGGAGGCTGTCGGTCCAGCCTAGCCTCGAACTCACAGAGATCTGCCTCCCGAGTGCTGGGATTAAAGGCATGTGCCACCACCGCCCGGCATGTCTCTGGGTTTTTATTATTCATGCTACAGACAGGCATAAATATTTGGGGACCAAAAGAGTGTCCAGGGTAGACAGAATATTGCTCAACACCAAAAATGATCATTTCTTCCCCATTCCCTCTTTGTAATGTGTATAGTCTACATGCCCATGAATGGGTGTGCTCTGCTCCCTCCTCATACCTGGCAGCTGTGTACTACTGCTCACTCCATTTCCCCATGTATTTCAACTGTGATACAATTTCTTGTTTTTTACTCGCCCTGTGTTTGGGTGTGTGGACATGTACATGCCACAGAGTGCTTGTGGTGGTCAGAAGACAACTATGGGAGTCATTTCTTCTCTTCCAGCACATTGGGTTCTGACAGGAGGATTGCTGTGAGTTCAAGACCTGCCAGGGTGTTAGAGATCTTGTATCGGACAGCCAAACCCAAAAAGTATACATATTTATAGAGCACAAGAGTCACCAGCAGATATGTAGAACCGAACAGGAACACAAAGAAGACACTTTCCCCCAGAGAAGGGGACCTGTGCTTTCCATTTGGCATCATGTGAGACCTTGGTTGGTAGCCAGTCTGAACTATTTCAGCACTGGGTGTAGGATTTTTATGCACCATGGGTGTCATGTGCTTATGACATGTAGTGTACTGTTTATTACCCTGTAGAGCAAATGCAATGCATTAATGTCATGCATGAACTTCAGGCTTGGCCTACACTGGACCTACAATCTGTCACTGCCCTTCGCTATTAAGTTTCTTGCAAAGAAAGTTCCAGTAAGTGATGACTAAGAAAATGTGGGGGGAAGTTAAGTGAGGAAACAAGTGGACAGGAAATTGTAGGAGGAAGTCTGTATGCCGCTATTAAACATGTGACTTATTAGAGGCGCATACAGATGAGGTAATAAAAGGGCAGTTTACCACACCGCTAACCACACCCACTTTAGGCAAGACTAAAGACGTATACGGCTGGACGTAAAGACGTATACGTACGTAGGCAGAACTACGCCACTAGCCATGCCCACTTTGGGCATGCCCACTTTGGGCATGGCTAGAGGGCGTTACGGGGGAAGGCATAAAAGACAGCACACAGGAAGTCTCGGTCTCTTTTCCCGGAGTCCGGCTTCCGGTTCGAGCGGAAAACTGCTTATCTCCTCTGGGTTACTTGTTTGGTATCTTGTGAGTAATTTCTACATTAAATACTTAGCTTTACTTTCAGTAATTGTGTGTCACGTATCGTTACAGTGTCCATCCGCTGAAGCCTACAGGAAATGTGTTTTTAAATGTTCATATGATAGAACAAAGGAGAAAAGCTACACTTACTCTGCACAGCATTTCTATTCAATACAAATTTTACTGTTAGTCAGGATTTTAGTTTCTTCTTTCACTCCCTCCTCTCTCCTTTCCTTCTGTCCTTTTTTATTCATGCTTTCTGAAGACAGTGTTTCACTTATATAATCCAGGTTGTCTCCGAAGTTATGATGGAGCCAAGAGTAGCCTCCCACTCTTAGAAATCCTCCCAAGTGCTGGGATTACATGTGTATGGCACAATGCTTGACCCAGAATTTTACACTTCCATTTTCACCATTAGAAAAAAAGCAAACATAATTGAGGGAAAAGAAATGAAATGATTGTGTGAGAAAAGTGGGGGCGAGAGATAAAGGGGCCGTGGGTAAAGGACCTGGTATATAAGGCACTTTGTGAAGATGCAAAACACTTTTCATGACTATATGCAAACCAAACTGCTGCTGAGGAAGATGCCTGGATAGGTGGCATTACACTCTTTTATGTGAGGTCATTTAACATTAACTGATATATAAAGAAAAATGCAAACATCACAGTTGTCTGAAAAGATGAGTGGCTATATTTCTACAAATGGAACTCATCTGAATACCTATATGTACACTGTTTACACTGTACCTGTTCCTGAGGATGATGAACTTCCTTTCCCAGTTTTTGTTGATCTGATCTGATTCCTTTCTAATCCTGGAACACATTAGCATGTGGTTAAATAGTTTTTCGGTTTCAGACAGACAACATGTGAATCCCTAAGCCCAGTACCTCTCCATCTTCTTATTTGCATTCTCCAATGCAGTTTTTAAGGCCTTTATTTCATCCTGTAAAGCTCTTTTGTCTTCATCCTTTTAATAGAAAACACAAAATCCCAGCACAAGGGTAAGGACATGGAAGGTACCAGTCTTTCCTTCTAAGTGAAGAAAGGCTATTTCTGCTAAGTAGTAAGTGAATCTTAATTATCACCAACAGAAAGAAATGTTAAGATTCTCTTGAGAGAATAATAAGATTGCCTTGAAAATTCCTAGCGATCAGAAGACTTTATGACCACACACTTCTATTTTCTATAAATGATTGGCTTTGTTACTTCCCGGGAATAGCCGGAATTCATGAGAAATAGAGAGGTTAACAGTGGAGTCTGTAGTGGTCATCGTCATACCTTCACCACCTGTAATTTTATCATTAGTTCTTCAGGCATCATTTGAGGTAGCAGAAATGTAATCTGTGAAGAGAATAAATGACAGCAAAGACAAAATGTCAGATTGATGCATGAAGGTAGTTTTCCTTTCTGTCTTGTCTATCTTTGTTTGAAAAATGAAATAGAGACTTGAAATTTGTCAACTGTACCCCAGAGGTCTTCACTGCTTCATCTAATCCCTAAAATTGAGTGTGCGCACAACACACATGCAGCTGGGCAATGGCAGCTATGGCAAGAGGTCAGAGTTCACCATTACACTTTTAAAAACTTCTTAAAATATTATTTATTTTATTTACGTGATTATTTTGCTTGTATGCATACCACCTGTGTGCCTGGTGCTCAGAGAAGTCAGAAGAAGGCATCAGATCCCCTGGAGCTGGAGTTACAGATGGTTGTGAGCCACCATTTAGATGGTGGGAATTGAACTCAGGTCCTCTAGAAGAGCAGTGGGTGCTCTTAAGTGTGTCACTTGGTTCCAGAGCAGTGACAGTTCAACAAATTCTCATGGGCATGTGCTCATACCTACTTATGTCCACCAATATACAAGTAAACACTGTGTAGAAAACTCTTGGATGGGCTAGAAATACAGCTCAGTGGCAGAATACTTAGCTAGTTCACATGAGGTTCCAGTTCTATTCCCAGAACCACACACACACACACACACACACACACACACACACACACACACACACACACACACACTTATACACACCTTGGTTAATGAATGTTATATTTCTATATGGTAAACAAAAAAGTTCCCACTCAACACTACACCGCAAGTAGGTTCTAATTTCTCCACAGTCTCATAGTCCATTACCCTCCTTGGTAGAGTTGGCTGTGTAGAAGAAGGAGTTAGAGAGCTGGGCAGTTCTGCATCCTAAAGAAAAAGAATTCTCCCAGACAACCAAGAGTAAAAGCTGAAGTGAAGATGGGGCAAACTCAGGAAGTGGGAGGTGCCAGCATTTGGTGGGCAGCTAATGACAAATAGCCTGGCTGATAAGACTGGAATGGCAAATTTGGAATGGCATCTTGTTGACTCAGACTCAGTCACTTGCCTATGTAAGTCTCCTCAAACTCATGTACACAAAGGTGTAATAAATGCAGGATGTGTATGGAACTGTGCAGAGAAATTATGGCACCAGATTGCCTTCAGCCCTGGATTTTGATGGTTAATTTATTTTACATTATTTTTGTTACATCTTTATGTAGTTTGTGTGTGTGTGTGTGTGTGTGCATGCATGCGTGGGTGCGTGTGTGCGTGCATGCTTGTGTGTGTGTGTTGATACTGGGGGTCTTCCTTTATCACTCTCCACCTTGTATTTTTGAGATAGGGTCTCTCACTGAACCTGGAACTTACTGATTGGCTAGGCTGACTGGCCCACAAGCCCCAAGGAGCCTCCTGTCTGCACCTCCCAGTACGCACTTCCACGTGCAACTTTTTACACAATGCCGAGGACCTAACTCAGGTTCTTCTGTGTGCACAGCAAAGCACTACTCAGCAGGAAACATGCCCAGCCTTGCCTAGAGATGACTAAAACACAGCTCTGGGTATATCTGAGAAGACGTCTCCAGAGTGGAATGACTTAGCTGTAAGAGCCATCTTGAATGTGTGTGGCACCATTCTGTAGGCTGGGGGCAAGAGGAGCTGTGGAGTAAAAGGTGAAAATGGGGAAACCAGCCAATGGAGGCATTCTCTCTCCGCTTCTGGTCAGCCATGATCTGAGTGGCTTTGCTCCATTCTACCCTTCCTGACAAGATGAACAGAAATGTCCGAAGCCACAGGCAAAACAGTTTTCTCCTTATGTTGTTTTCTTGGTAATAGTGATGAAAAGAGTAACAACTACATCGATTAAACAAAAATGCATACTGGTGCAGTAAGCAGAATGTGATGAGATTCCGAAGCTGACTCAGTTCAGGACTGAGGGTATAGCTCAATTGATAGAGTGCCGATTTAGTATGCACAAAAAGCTCTGGATCAAAACTCCAAGCACACATAAACCTGGCATGAAGATGAGTCAGGAAAGCATAGGGAATAGTTTACTAACCTAGGACTCTACTTGGTTTGGGCTATGTGCATACCCCTCTTCTAACAATGCACTTGGTATTCTGAGACTTTTATCTGCATGTACTATGGAAGCATCTCTGACTCTGAACAATGCTCCTAGCAACTGAGGACTCCAATTTGCATGGAGGTATACACCCATTCCCTCTGAACAATGGAATAAGTTTCTCCTATCATTAACAAGTATCAAACTTACGTAGATCCTGTTCATCAATATTTATGTTGTGTTCAGTCACAGAAAGTGGGGAGCCCCTCTGTCTTGAGTTATTGTTGGGTATGAAGACTATATCCTAAAGTAGCCTTTTAGGAAGAACCCTCTGTTTATCATCTTATGCCTGAACACAATTGAGCATGCATATGATTAAAATTAGATGCATTACAGGAAGGGACATTCACAGTAGAGAAAACATTTGTATAACAACCTTCCAGCCAAAACAGAGAACCATCCAAACTGCACTCTTTAACAACCAAACTTCTTTTAAACTCCTTAAAAGGAAGTCTCAAACAGTAACTGAGGCTGTTGAAACTTTTGTTTGTGTGGCCTGCTGTCCATCTTGACTGTATATTCCCTTCTAATATCTACTACTGCTTTGATTTGAATAAAGTTGTCTTGCTACTTTTTAAGATCTATGTGGATTTTTATCTCAGTTCTTTGAATAAGAAGCCAAGAACATGAAAAACCTGGTCCAAATTCTGACTACCAGGAACAGTAGTGCACAGCACTTAGGGTATGGAGGTGAAGGCTTAGGAGTTCAAGGTCCTTGTTGGTAGTGGGTTTGAGGTCAGCCTGAGATACATAGAGATTCTGTCTCCCAAAACAAACTGACAAATAAAACAACAATTGATCAAAATTACAGGTTCACCACGCCTGGAGGCAGCCTTTAATGCCTGACTTTTAATACATTAGATCCTATATAACCATTGGAAAATCTGGGGAATAATTAACAAAATGAAAAGGGAAGATGTCATCCAAGTGACACAAGGCAGACACATTTAAGGATCACTCCATCTATTTGTCTTCAATGGAGACAGTCTACTTGAATGGTCTGCCTACCAAGGTGTGGGGTACTGGGTGAATTCAGTGTCCTTTGGTCAACTGTAGGCCATGGAGGTCACTGTACAGAAGCTCCAAGGACTCTCAGGCTTTCACCACCACACCGAAGAAAAGGCACCCAAGTTTTAAAAACTCAGACAATTAGGAAAACAAAATCAAAACAAGGTGCCATATTGGAAGATGTTGATCATCCAAATTCATGTCAGCAATTAAAAATTTATTTTAGCATTCTGCACTTGAATTTGTAGTGAAATTCATTATCAATTTAAAGGTTCTATTATTCACATAAGATTATTAACCATGGAACTAGAGATAAGACTGCTGCAGCATATCTTCTGTAATGCAAATAATTATTCAGTCTTCTCCAAAGATAGTTCAGTTGTAACAATGTAGATAGCATTTCCTTTCATAAAAAACAAAACAAAGGAGAGCAAATCACCCCATACTGAATACAGTATTTGTTCCTTGTCCCAAGTCAAATTTTCCACCTTGCTACAGCACAATATATTGAATCCTGGCTTTGTCCACATGAAACTGTTATTTTGTTTTGCCAGCTGCTGGCATTCCACTTTCTCTGGAGTAAAAATGCTGGTCTTTATGTGGTTGCTCCATTGACAAGTGCAAACACTGGACTGCCAAACAATGGATGGAAATGAAAAAGAATAGTGGTGCTAATGAGACAACACTTAGCTTCCTGAGTGCGAAAATAAAAATCAAATGACTGTACTTTATCAAACTATGATTATGAATAATTTTTCCAAGCATGTTTCTTTTTTGAATTTATAACTAAAATTTCATAACTGAGAACATTCATTTTAGGGGTTGAAAGGATGGCTCAGAGTTAGGAGCACTGGCTGCTCTTGCAGTAAACCCAATTTCCATTGGCAGCATCTCCATAATGGCTCACAACCATCTGTAACTCCAGTTCCAGGGAATCCAATGCCCTTTTCTGGTCTCTTTGGGCACTAGGCACACAGGGGTTTCCAGAACTACATACATGCAAGCAAAACACCCATACATGCAAAATAAAATAAAGCATCCCACCAACTGAGCCACAACCTCAGCCTCATCTGCTGCTTGTTAGTTTGTTTGGTTGATTGGTTGGGTTTTTTAAAGACAATTTTCTCAGTTCCTTGGAGTGGTGGGAACTATCATCAGATTGGCCTCAAATATACAACAGTAGCCCCGGTTTCAAATGAGTAAGTACATGAGTTTCTATTTAAATGATTTTTAATTTCTATTTTCTGAGGTTAGTCTTGTTTCAAAGTAATAATTATAGTAAAGCCCACACCTAAAGCAAAAGAAAAAAAAGAAAATATTTTTTTGTTTTATGTTGTGGTATAATCCTTCTGTACAGTGCATAAATATATGCCACTATAATTGGTTTAATAAACAAGCTGACTGGGATCAACAGGATAAATTTAGGTGGGAAAACCAAACTGAGGATGATGGCATGAGGAAGGGCAGAATCAGAGGAGATGCCAGCTAGATGCCAAGAAAGCAGGATGTATAGACAATGAATTAACAAGCTGTGAGCCATGTGGAAAGCATAGACAAAAAATATGGGTTAATTTAAATGTAAGAGTTAGATAGCTACAAGCCTGAGCTATTGGCTGAGCATTTATAAATAATATTAAGTTTCTAAGCTATTATTTGGGACTAGGTGGTCAGGACAGGAAAACTGTGGCTACAGTTTTATAATAGAACTCACGCTTTTAAAATTTCCTAACACTTATGTGAAATAACTTCTTAAATTTGGAGTCCCTTAAAACTTGCCCAATAACCCCAGGCTGCACCCTCTCCGCTGAGCTCCATACTAGGGCCCACACCCTGGTAGCCTTACAAGACTAGGCTGGTCCTAGGAACCCTAGGCAAGACACTGCACACCACCCACAAAACCCCTTTAGG